TAGAAGGCCCCCAGGTGCAGGGGACGGCCATGGAAGACGGCGCGTTCAGCGGGTGGCTCTGCTGCAGCGGCTGTGAAGGAACACTTGCTCTGTACGACTCGGTCCCTACAAGCAGAAGGTGTGTGTCCACCATCACGGCATGTCAGGGTGGTCGTTGCATCCAGGTAAGGCAGCAGACTTGTTCTATATTCATGCAAAGATCTCCAGGAAAGAGGAGTGGACATGCAAGCGTCTGAAGAGCCCCTCTGCTCCCAGCGCAGCACTCCAGCAATGCCACAGCACCGCGAGGTCCCTGCGGACAGTGAGACGGGCAGGTCTCACCCCTCTCACAACTGCCCTGTCCAAACTCCTGCCACGGTCAGCGCTACAGGGAGAGCACACAGCAGCCAGGTGTGTCCGACAGGACTCCGAATTGCAGCTCACAATGAAGAAAGCGTAGACACCATCTGGTATTAACAGAGACTAGAGCCCAAAATCCAGTGAGAGTCAGTCACACTATCTAGAGTGACTCCGTCTCCTCACAAGCACCTGCCTCATCCTCCATCAGCACTTCAGCATTCAAAGGATACGCCGTGCAGGAGCTACGACCAGGCCAGAGCAGAGACATCTCCCAGCAGAGCCCAGCTTGGTCCAGGGCAGCTGCTCCCAGTCCTGCCGGTCACTGCACCCTTTGCCGAGAGCCCCAGCACTCACAGAGCCACCTTTTCCATCCCTGGGTCTGTAACTATTGACCCACAAGATTAACGCGACCAGTGCAGACCGCTGCAGGGGCACACAGGCTCTGTGCCAAAGCTGCAGGGAAACAACCCTAGGCTTGCGGGCTGTTGTGGTAGCTCAAACGAAATCCGTTGTACAGCATTCATAAAAGACTTGGTAAAGCCTTAGGCCGCAAGCGGTGAACTTATCCTGAACTTACACTTGGTTAGTGTAAGGCAGGCCCCATGACCCGTGTATCCTTTGAAAAACAAGGTAGCCACCACATCAACAGAAGCTGCATCCTGTGAAAAATAAAAGGAACGGCCCCACCTGGGGACAGAAAAAGGATGCAATGAGGAACAAGAAGACCCTAGACCTAAATATTACTGTTGGACCAAACTGTCACGTTTGGGGAGGGGAACTGAGATTGTAAGGATGGAACTGCCTAGAGATTTCTTCGTTTGGGTCCGTCTCCAGAGGGACCCAGTTCAAGCTGACCCTGCTGCTGAACGATTCTGTAAAATTATTTATTTTTACAAGATTCAATGCCTGAGATTCTGCTACAGGAAACCTAGGATAAAGAAACTTCTTTAACACAGGCATCACCTCCCCAGTCACGCAGCTCCACGACGAGAGGAGGCGGCAGAGTTCAGCTACAGCCAGCAGGCACTTCGCCTTGAAAAACGTCCCTTCCCAGACAGAAAGACCCTGCCAGGACAATCCCTGCTCAGTGTAACCCACGGAGCAGCCCGGCCGGGACCCCTCTGGGGAAGCCCCCACTCAAAACACCCTGTCGAATTCAGTCTGGTTGGTGGCGGCCGGGTTCCTGCCTTGGTTAGCTGGCTGCTGGGGCATGTGTCCACCCCTCCTGCGCGGCGGGGCCAGGTACTCGAACATGGACTGGTTGTGGGTGGACAGCATGTTTTTGAGGTCCGAAGGCATTGGGTCTGACCAGAAGAAGTCATGGTTGAGCGCGTCGTCGCTGTCAATCCGCTGAGCGGGATCCAGCACCAGCAACTTGTCGATGAGGTCGAGGGCGTAGGGGTCTTTGACATAAGCTTTCAGGCGATCCTTCACCTTGCGCTTCTGGCCCTTGGGGAGATCCAGCTTCTGGTACAGCTCATATTTATCCACGTTTGGCCAAACCTGGGAAGAAGCAGGAAAAGGGGGTTGGGAGGAAACAGCTACGGAGAGAACAAGCCATTTCTGATGCGAATACCCTCAGGCAAACCATGGTGAGGTCTGCTGAGGGAACAATACTATTTTATAACCTCCAAACCTGCAGACCTTGTTCTCATAGCACAAAGGAAGCTCTAAAGGGTGCGCTAGAGCCTGGAGACACGTGGGCAAGTGAGGACAGAACTCTTCTCGTATGGAAACCGCAGGATGCGCCAGGATTTCTGGCTCTCCCACAAAAGAAGTACTAGAGAGCACGGCTCAGGCCAGCTACAACATCCAGAAAGATAAAGCAGTAAAACTTATTGCTAAATAACCTGGATGTGTGTGAAGCCTTTTATCCTTAGAAAGCAAAAGCCCGCTGCAATCACTAGCACTTACCTCAACCCTGATGTGGGACAGACCGCAGCAGGTATTTACATACAAAAGAAAGCACGTTCCAGTGTATGTAACAAAGGCATCAGGCCTCTGCAGCTTCCTGCAGGACACACCCTGCTAGATCACAGCCCCCGGCCAAGAGATCCCTCAGCTCCATCTCCCCCACAAGAGGGCAGGACAAGCTGCCCATAAATATGGAGCTGGAAAGGGCCAAGCGCTCACACCAGGGCTGAGCTGATGCCACGAATCTTAAGCCACAATTAAAGAGGCTTTTCAGGGTGACTAGTGCAAAGCACCCGAGACAAACCCCTCAACACAAACCAAAAAACTCTTCTTTAAGCAGAAATTCAGAGGGTGTTTATCTGAGACAACCCCTAAACACAGGCTGGAACAGACTCCCATACATAAGGTCCAATTATTCTTTCACGCTTGGAGCAGCCAGCATCCTCTCCCTGCTCAAAAACACACCCATGACTTTCTCCTCCCGAGGCCAAGTTCACCCTCTTCTCTTCAGGAGGTTGAATACAAGTAACACGACAGCTGTAGTTCACCCAGAGCAGCAAAGAAAGTGCTTCATCCCACTGCACACTTGGCTCCCAGGAGGCAAATCGCATTTGCGGGAACTTCCCCGGCCTCCCTGCCGGCAGCAGGCACGCTCCAGTGTCAGCGCACAGGGCAGGGAAGAGGGCAGGGAGCGCCTGGTCCCAGTCCCTGCCCACAGCTCCGTTTCACACCTCCCTCCTCCCAGCCTCCACAGCTTGCCCACGCTCCAGCTCTCACCTCCGGCGTGATGGATCCGCAGAGCTGGCTGATGAGCGTGAGCTGGTGCTGCTCCGTGTTCCCCTGCATGATGGGGCTGCGGGTCCACATCTCTGCCATGATGCAGCCTGCGCCCCAGAGGTCAATGGGGGGACCATAGTCCCGCTCCCCTAAATGGAGATGCTGTGTTAGTCACCCAGGGGCACGAGAAGGACAGAGAAGCCAGCAGAGCCCATCGCTTCCTACCTAGGAGCAGCTCTGGCGGCCGATACCACAGAGTCACCACGCGGTTGGTGTAGCGGTTTGGCTGGCTGTTCTTCGCCAGGCTGAAAGCTCGAGCCAGCCCAAAGTCCGCAAGCTTCAGGACTCCATCCCGCGTGATCAGGACATTCGCAGCTTTCATGTCTCGATGCAGGATCTGTACAGAGACAGACATTGAAAAGTAAAGCCATTAAAGGTGCCTTCCTTGGGCGCCTGGTGCCAGCAGGGCACGCCGACTCTGGAGATGGAGGACAAAGAAGGACTCTCCCTCCAGCCTGTGCTAAGGCACCCGCTCCTTGGAAAGCCACAGAGAGCCGGGTGACCTCAGGGCGCAGCACAGATCTGACCTGTTACCTTGTTCCTGTGGATGTAGTAGAGCCCATTCAACAGCATCTGCATCACTTTCTTGATCTCTGAGAGCGTGAACTTGACATGAGCGTTGCTGAGAAGGCCGGCCAGGTCGTGCTCGCAGAAGTCAAACACAAGGTAGATGCTGCCCTTGCAGCGGTTGTACGGGGAGGCTACGGGAGAATGTCTTGGGTTACAATATGTAACCAAAAAAAAAAAAAAGTGTAATTCTATTTTCATCTGTTGAAACCGGTTGGAAGGTATTTTCATTTCTTGTTAACTCCAGGGGCAGGTGCTTTTTGTCAGTGGGTAACCATGGGTTAACGATGGGAAAGGTGGGAGCCGCCCCAGCCAGGGGGTGGGTAGCCACTCGGCCGCCGCGAGCACCGGACTCCGGGGGGCGGAGGGGGACGGGCATTTGGACTTTTTTTTTTGTTCCCAAGTCAGGTATTCTGACTCTGTCGGGTTCTGGGATTATTTGTTTCTTGTTGTTTTTTTTTCCTCTGTATCATTACCCTCGTAGTTTGCAATTTCTCAGTAAAGAACTGGTATTCCTATTCCCCTATCTTTGTCTGAAAGCCCCATAATTTGAAAGGTACAGCAGTTCGGAGGAGTGTGTGTGGTGGGGGGAGCGATTTACAGTTCTCGGTTTCAAGGGAGGCTTGCCCCTGTCTTCTAAACCAAGACAGAGAGGCAAGGAGGGACTGTCAGCGAGGGACCCTTAACCCTGCCACAGCTCCTCCTGACCTCCAGCCACCCCGCTGCTCATACAAGCGCTCACGAGACAAAACCTCAGAACACAGGAACACACAGAACCTGAGACAGCCTGCGGGCCTCAAGATCCTGCATAACGAGGCACTAAGACAGAGCAACTAGCAACAGAAGAGCAGAGGCCGAGGTCAGGAGTAGTGAATTGTCACCAGAAAGGCAAGGAGACAGCACAAAAATCTTTGAAAGCTTCACTTTGCGTTGCGCAGCGCACGTAACGGCTGGGGGGTTTCTTCCCTGCCAGCTGCTGTCCGGGCGCACCGCCAGCTGCCAGCCCAGCACTATCACCGATTCCATCAGCAATAACTGAAGGCACCCGCAAAGAGAGCCCCAGAAAAAAATGCAGAAATGGAGAAAATCTGTCTCACATCAAATCAGGACATGAGGTTTTCTGAAGCCTCAAACAGCATCTAGAAAAATGGACTGATCTGATCAAAGTGAGTTAAAACTCCAACCCCAGCTGCAATTTAAAGTCAACAACAGGAAGCCTCAAGTGAAGCAATCGATTTCAGTCTTGTTCCTAGAGCACACATGCAAAACTTTATTTAAAAAAAGGAAGGTTGATTTTCATCAGCTGTAATCAGCAAAACCTGCTGATCTGCACCTCCAGCCAGAAAACGACAGCGGAGCTCAGCCTCCACAGAAACACGCCGCTCCTCCACCAGCCAGGAGGGTGCTGGCTGGACGAGGTTTGCAGTCCTTTACCCGCCCAGCCCCTAAAGCGCGTTTCCAATGAAAACAGAGAAAAGCTTAAAGTCTGAGAACATCAAATGCAACGCTTCTACTTTACTAGAGGTCAAGGTATATTTGGATGAAAACTGGAATCCAAGCAAAACACAAACAACTGAGAAGTCTACAAAAATATTTACCTTAGGTATGCCAGACATACAATCGTCACAGCTTTTTTAACCACACAACTAATTAAAAATTAACTTGTTGTCAGTGTTTCTACTTGTATCTGTTGAGACAATAATCTACATGCAGTGGAGTACTGGAGTAACTTCAAGTTTCTCATCCCAGTCCAGGGATCTCTACCAGTTCAGTGACCGGATTTTTACAAAAACATCGTCAGCAAATACCTGCCATTTCGTTTTAATTTATCTGAAACAACTGACTAGAGAATGTTACACTTTAACATCAGCTGTCACTTTCAAAAGCATTTTTCAGGTACAAATCCGTGTTTTAAAGCAATTTCACTGGGAACAGAGCCAGGCCAGGAGCACAGAGGCACACTGGGCGAGGTGGAAGGGCGATTCTGAACTGCCCGTGTGGAGTCCCAGCCCTCATGGTACGAGCTGCTACCGTCACCCACAGAAAGACACTGAGCGAGTCTGCGGCTAGAGCTGTGTCACCAGCTCAGAGCTGCCACCAACCCTCATCAGCCAACTGAGAGGGATGGCTCCAGCCCCTTACAGGGAACTGGCTGCGCACAGCCAAGAGATCAGCGCCGGGCTCAGAACCCTCTGCTTCAAAGCCTCTCTGGCACTGGTTTATTTAAATCCTCTCAGACAGGAGTTTTTCAACGCAAACAGGACTCACCACCATGGCACAGGTGTTTCCTAGCAGGACTGACAAACAACTCTTTCCAGGCAGCAATGTCTGAACTCATTTAGAAGCTGTTTTCCAAGATGGGTGTACCATCACCCCGCGGCACGGGCAGCAACTGAGGCCCGTGCTCAGCTAGAGCGACCCCACTCCCAGCGCAAAACACCAGCTCAGCGGTGACAGAGAGCTAAAAAAAAGCTGACAGACAGCACAAGACACCCCCACAAGTTACCTTTGGTCCTGCAGATTTCTATGAGGTTCACCACATTCTCATGTTTGAGCAGCTGGAGGATTTTTATCTCTCGCAAGGCTGTGATGGGGAACTGGAAAGGAGAAAAAGAGGACAGAGATTAGGGGTGCTGGAAGCCCCTGCCTACAGAACAGGAGAGAAGTGACCACAGCAGCTTGGCAGGGGTCCTGCTCGAGCAATACTGCGACAAGTCACTGAAGGACAATCAGAGCTTTAAAACAAAACACCAACACCTGGGTTATCAAAATGCATTCACCACCAGGCCACCACTGGTGAGGGAGCTTCCACCACGAGACACATTCCTAACACATTCCTGTACAGCCCAGTGAGCTCAGACTCCCCGGCTGCCACTCGCGCTCTTTAAGCTGTTAA